AAAATTTTAGGAGTGGCTAGGTATGGTGGCTCGTACCTGTAATCCTAGTATTCTGGAAGGCTCAAGCGGATAGATTGCCTGAACTCAGGAGTTCAAGACTAGCCTGAACAAGAGCAAGACCCCATCTCTTAAAAAATAGCAAGACATTGGTGGCATCCATAGCTCAGTCAGCAAGGGCACAGGCCACATACACCTAGGGTGGCAGGTTGAAACCAGGCCCAGGTCTACTAAGCAACAATGACAACTGCAACTAAAAAATAGCCGGGCATTATGGTGGGCGCCTGTAGTCCCAGCTACTTGGGAGGCCGAGGGAAGAGAATTGCTTAAGCCCAGGAGTTGGAGGTTGCTGTGAGCTGTGATGCCAAGGCACTATACCTAGGGTGACAGCTTGAGACTCTGTCTCAAAATAAATAGATAAATAATAGGGCAGTGCCTATGGCTCAGCGGGTAGGGTGCTGGCCCCATATACTGAGGGAGGCAGGTTCAAATCCGGTCCCAGCCAAACTGCAACAAAAAAATAGCTGGGTGTTATGGCAAGTGCCTGCAGTCCCAGCTACTCAGGAGGCTGAGGCAAGAGAATCACCTAAGCCTAGGAGGTTGTTGTGAGCTGTGTGAAGCCACGGCACTCTATAGAGGGCAATAAAGTGAGACTCTGTCTCTAAAAAAAATAATAATAATAAATAATAAATAGCCAGGCATTGTGGTGGGCACCTGTTGTCCCAGCTACCAAGAAGTCTGAGGCAAGAGAATAGTTTTGAGCCCAACAGGTTTTTTTTTTTTGTTGTTGTTGTTGTTTTTGAGACAGAGCCTCAAGTTATCACCCTGGGTAGAGTACCATGGCATCACAGCTCACAGCAACTTCCAACTCCTGGGCTTAAGCGATTCTCTTGCCTCAGCTTCCCAAGTAGCTGGGACTACAGGGTGCCCACCACAACGCCCGGCTATTTTTTAGTTGTCATTATCACTGTTTCTTTGGCAGGCCCAGGCTGGATTTGAACCCGCCAGCTCTGGTGTATGTGGCTGGCACCTTAGCTGCTTGAGCTACAGGCACCAAGCCAAGCCCAACAGTTTGAGGTTACTGTGAGCTATAATGCCACAGCGCTCTACCAAGGGTGACAAATAAGATTGTTTCCAAAAAAAAATTTTGTTTAGGGATAAATTTAGGGGCAACTAACTCTGAAATGGTTCAGAAAAAAAATAGAGTAAAAATATGAAAAAGCACACGTAGCAAAATGTTAATAATCAGAAATCTGGGTGAAGGGTACTGGGAAGTATTATGTATTCTTACATTTCTGTGAGTTTGAAATTACTTCCAAAGAAGATGTGTTCAAAAACAGGAGGAACCAAGGAAGGAAGGGTGGGACTCAGACCTGTCCTGCTGTGCAGCCTTCAACAAGTTGCCTGCCTTCTCTGAGTTTGTCTCTTGACTGCTCTCTATAGGTTGCCCTGACCTATATGGGAAATGTCCCTTTCTTTCCTTTTTTTTTTTTAGACAGAGCCTCAAGCTATCCCCCTGGGTAGAGAGCTGTGGCATCACAGCTCACAGCAACCTCCAACTCCTGGGCTCAAGTGAGTCTCCTGCCTCAGCCTTCCAAGTAGCTGGGACTACAGGCACCCGCCACAACACTGGCTATTTTTTGGTTGCAGCCATCGTTGTTTGGCGGGCCTGGACTGGATTCGAACCCGCCACCTTAGGTGTATGTGGCTGGCACCTTAGCCACTTGAGCCACAGGCGCCAAGCTGAAATGTCCATTTCTAAGAGTGGCCTGAAGGTCAAGATGTGGTTTTGAGCAAGCCTGGCCTTGAGCTCTGTCCAGGTCAGCATGGCAGGGAGCCCCACGGATCTAAGCTATCTCCAGGTAGGGACTGTACAAGCCCAGGGACAATTAAGGGCAGGATGAGAGAGGCCTGGGAGATGCAGGTGGCATCTCTCAGTAGCTACAAGATGCCCTCTACTCACACCAGGGCATCTTCAAGGGCCGGGGGCCTGCACGCCCACCCATTACACCTGCTCCACGAGCCTCCAACAGAAAGCAGGTGTGGTAGTCACCTCAGGACATATCCAAAGGAGAAGGGTGAACAATGCTCCCTTGGCCACCTCTAGTGTCAGCTGGCCTTTGGGAGATGGGTGGGCAGCTCAGTGTCCAGCACAAGGGTGACAGCTGCCAGGTCCTTTCCATGTCAGGAGCAGGTGTGGTGCACACAAGGAGGGACCCTAAAACTGCAGGTGACAGAGGCCATTCTCAGCAGACTCTGGGCAAGTCAAGTCCCTATGGCCAGAACCCATGGGGAGCCAATCTCACTAACCCTTGGTGGAGGCACAGGCCTGGGAGCTGCTGAGGGATTTCTCTGGCTCCAGCCCTCTTTGTAAGCAGGACAGTGGGTGCAGAGGCCCTGGAGCCTGCATGATGGCTGAGGTTAGTTCAGTCCAGAGAGGTGCACCCCCTGATCAGAACCAGGAACAGCCTGCCCCTCCCCCAGGAGGCCTGGAGCCCTTCCTCCAGATCCCCTACATTGGGGCTGAGGCTACAACCAGACAGCATGTGGGCCTGTGCCCCTCTACTCATGCCAGGGCATCTTCTAGGGCCTGGGGCCTACACACCCACCCATTACACCTGCTCCACGAGCCTCCAACAGAAAGCAGGACATACCCAAAGGAGAAGGCCCAGGTCCCTCTTGGAGGTGGCTATACCCCACCCTACCCTGGAGCTTGCTTCCCCAGTCCTGCTGCCCATAGGTGATAGAAAGCTGAGCCTGCACTCTGACACTGGGAGGCTTTATTGTCACAGCAGGAAATGGTGGGGTCAGGGCCCATCCCTGTCAACACCCTCTGCTGGGCGCTAAGAGTCTCTGTGGCCTCCAGCAAAAGAGCACTGGCAGTGGGCGGGCAGAAGCAGACCGTTCAGGGTGCTGCGACAGATGGGGCTGTGCCTCCCACCCCCAGCACAGATTTTTCCACCCCTTCCAGCACTTTCAGGCTTCCCTCCCCTGGGGATTGCACTCACTTGGGAACACCCAAACCAGGCCATGGCAAGTCTGGCAGGTAGACATAGCCCGAGTACCAAGACCACTTCCTTAGGGGCCACCCATAGCCTTGGGACACAGAAGTGTCTGCCCAGGAGGGAGCTTCCTCCTTCCAAGAGAAGTCAGTGAGGGGAGATGGAAGATTTGACCAAATGGCCTCTTCACACAGGGGTACAACGCAGGATGTAGGCAGCCAGGTAGGCAGGCGGTTTCCAACTAGGCAGCTCTGGCCACCCTGTGGCCTGGCATCAGGCAAAGGGACACCCAACAACTTGCTGGAGCATCAGCAAATGGAGGTGTGAGGGTCTTGGCTTGCTGGAGCTACAGATGGGCATCAGTAGCTGCCTCAATCCTGGAGGGGGCACCATCTGCTGAGGCAGCTGGAAGGCACCAGGGACCCAGAAGAGCCTGCTTGGGGGCCACCCCCACCTGATGGTAGGGAGCCATGAGAAAGCAGCCAGGGAGACCTGCCAGCATACCTCCATGGGCAGTCCCTCTCGCAGTCTGGCATAAAGGACAGGGTGGAGCGAAGTTCCTGGGCATCAGGCTAATGGGTGTAGTGAGGACAGCAAGTCAGGAGGTGGGTTCCTAGGTAGGTGGTACTAGAGACAGCACAGCCAGGTGGCCTAGCTGGCCACCCCCTGCGTCTTGCTACCCCCTTGAGTTGGGAGGAGGTGTTGCAGGCAGGGCCTATGCAGGCCCCAGAGAACTAGGGGCAGGAGTGAGAGCAGGGCCTGCCCACATTCAGGAGCACGCAGTGGCATCGAGTTGGATACAGGCCACAGCACCACCCATCTAGGCAGTCAGTGCCATTATGGCTGATCAGAGGGCTGACTGTGGCCATGTGGCGGTACTAGGAGGGCCAGCTGCTGGAGCCCCTCAGTCCTGCTTGTCCCCTCTCTGCCTCCAGGGGTAGATGAGCTCCCCAAAGAACAGCTTGCGGCACAGGGATCCCCAGGAGTGCTTGGGGTGGCAGCCACAGCTGGGGAGGCGGTAAGTATGCACCACGCGGCTGTAGGACAAGGGGTTTATCTGGAAGGACAAGGGTTCAGGAGTTAGTGAAGTGGATGGGAGGTGCTCCAGCCTTGTCTGCAGAGGAAGAACTGGGGTATATCCTGGACCTGCTGGCCCTCTTGTGGGGTCCTTGGAGTGGAAAGTCCAGACAGGGTCCACTCTGTCCCAGACAGCCCCTCACCTGTGATCTGAGCCCAGCCCAACTCTTAGGGAGACAGGTGAGCATGCAACATGGAAGGGAGCATTCAGGCAGCAAATCAGATGGCTCCATGCTCCACTGAGCCAGTGTCCACTGCCATTAGCTCTGGGCAGGGCAGAGGTGGAGGTGGGGGGAGTATACTTCCCTAGAGGGCAGACACCAACTCCACAGGCTCTGCCACATGGACACATTCCTCTGTAGGACTCACTTAGCCCCCCACAGCCTCCCTGGACAGGATGACAGGCAACGTGCTATATCCCAGAGAAAACCATGATGCAGGGTCCTGGCTACCTCAGCATCTGAGAAATGCCATACTGGGGAAGCGGTGCTGGACCATGACAACCAACACCAGGCAGCCTGATACCTAGAAAGTTACCCCAAAACTTGCCCTGCTCAGGGACCAAGCCCCCAGGACCGTTTTAGAAAGAGAAGCCCTAGCCCAGGCCCATCAGGAAACATCATGCATTCTGAGGCCTCTGTTAAATCAGTTCTACTCTACGCAGAACTCCAGCCCAATGAGGCCCAGGACAGGAGACCAGATGCAGGGCCAATGGGGCAGCATTGGAAGCGAAGGGCACCTCTGACACAAGACAGAAGGGGACCCCATCCATGACTGGGCCGGGCCTCAGCCACAGACCACAATAGATCTCTCAGGCCCTGCTGGGATGGTTCCCACAGAGTGAGTCATGATGCCCAGGGGGCCTGGCAGGGGGCTTCCCATGTGGACCCTGCCCCTCAGCTCTACTGGGCTGTCCCACTCACACCTTATCCCAGGCTCGAGTGGTACTACCCAGAACCCACCCGCTGACCCCAACTATCCTGGAACATGGGCCACAGCATGGGGGTGTCCCAGACATAGGTAGCAATATAGGGGCTACAAGGAGGCCTTACTTGCATCAGGAGTCGAAGAGGCCTGCCAGCCTGGTGCTCTAGGACACGGAACTTCACACCAGCTGCAAGAGAGCAAGGTGCTCATGAGGAAGAGCAGTAGCTCCCACCTAGGCCTTTCTGGTCCTGCTCCAAGTATCAGCAGGCACATGGCACTCCCTGTCCCCACCCTTCTCTCTGCCTCTCAAGCTGGCTGCCTGGCCAGTATCAAAGCTTCAAGCAGAACTTCACTGAAAGACAGAAGCCAGTGCTCGGCAAGCATGGAAGAGCCAGCCAGGTGACAGATGGGCACAGGCCAGGGGTGTTTTCTGAATGGGATATGAATTTTCCAGCAAAGTAGACAGGGTGCTTGCTGGGTGGTGGCCACCTTGCTGGCTTCTTAATGTCTTCCAACTTCTGCATGCTTGGTTGACTTGGGAACCCACCATACCCCTAGCCTACATTCAGGCTCCCAAGCCCAGGCAATCCCTAGGTAGAGGGGTTTTTTTTGAGACAGAATCCCATTATGTCACCCTTGGTAGAGTGCATAGCATCACAGTTCACAGCACCTCCAACTCTCTTGCCTCAGCCTCCCAAGTAGCTGTGACCACAGGTGCCTGTCACAATGCCCAGCTATTTTTTGGTTGTAGTTGTCATTGTTGTTTGGCAGGCCTGGGCTGGATTCGAACCCGCCAGCTCTGGTGTATGTGGCTAGTAGTGCCTTAGCCACTTGAGCTACAGGCACCAAGAGCCAGGTAGAAGGTTCTTGAAAAGACAAGCAAGAGCGGGCTCAGCACCTGTAGCTCAGTGGCCAGGGTGCCAGCCACATACACCGGGGCTTCCGGGTTTGAATCCAGCCCAGGCTTGCCAAACAACTATGACAACTACAACCAAAAAATAGCTGGGCATTGTGGCAGGCACCTATGGTTGCAGCTACTTGGGAGGCTGAGGCAAGAGAGTTGGAGGTGCAACTACAAGCAAAAAATAGCCGGGCATTGTGGTGGGCACCTATAATTCCAGCTACTTGGGAGGCTGAGGCAAGAGAATCGCTTAAGCCCAGGAGTTGGAAGTTGCTGTGAGCTGTGATGCTATAGCACTCTACCAAGGGTGACATAGTGGGATTCTGTCTCAAAAAGAAAAAAAAA